AAAACTGAGTTTTTTGAAAGAGGAGGTGCTGGCTTTTTCTCCTCCTCTCTCTATACGTATTAAAATTGTAATCTCAGCCTGGGACATGCAAAACCACTGCTACAACACCCATAAGCTGTACCTCTGGACTATGCAGAGTGTCCCACAGTCATCCCATAAAAAAGCACATGTACAGGATGACAGGGAGCTGGAAGGCTCAGTGCAATCTGTAACCAGCCAAGCAACATTCCAGCAATGGAGATCCCCAGGTACACCACCCGTGGCCGTGCTGCTTGTTGTCGTGTAGTAGTTTCAGTTTAGGCTGCTTTTAGGGATCTCTCAATGTTAAAGTAAACCTTCAATAAAAAGGCTACATTTCTAATCTCTCCAAGAAACAAGCCCGGCAAGTATGCTACTGCACAGCAAGCAAGTTACTCAAAATAGAATAAAAAGACAAATCCTGTCTGAATTCACACCAAAACGATCAGTGAAGGACAAAGGCCTAGGCAGCACCACAAGAAGGTATTTCCAGTGCATGTAGCTGGAATAGGTGGGGATTTAAATAACATCTTTAAGGAGGGATGCTTCCCTCCCCACTACCTTCAGAACTGTGTTTCCTCATGCTCAATGAAGCACTGCTATCTGTGCAATGAATCACATGCTGCCAACGGGAAACGTATCAGGAATATTCTCATTAATGGATCGGCTCTCTTATTGTGGTCTGTACAAAGAGATGTTAAGAACACATATTGCTTGCCAGGGCAGCTAGACAGAATCCTGCTTGCTTCTTTTCTGTTCAAGCATCAGATGCTGGAGTATTTTGAGCTATTTCTAGCTCTTTAAAATGGTGTTTCAGATAAATGACTGCCCTTTAGCAGAGATAGAATGGCATTTGCCTTTTGATCTAAGAAGGAATATATGTATAATTTGCTTGCTTCACTTTCAAAATGGGCCAGATGGTGCCACTTTAGTATGAATCTTGAATTCAGGTATTTGGAGATTATTTTAACTGCCTGTAGGAAGCTGTGCACACCTGCAGGTGTCGAAGAAGAAAAGCAATATCCATGACACATAGAGCATATGCTGATAAGCAAAGTAAACACAAAGGATTTGAAGAGGCATCAAGGAGATGGCACCAGGATCATGGGAGTGTTGAAGGAACAGTGACTGTGTTACCTCAGTGTCTCACCCATAGAGGAGTACTGAGTGTACTTACAAAGAAGCACAGCAAGAACAGTAGGAAAGCTCTCATTTAATTGCTTAAAGCAAAAGGAAGTCTCTAAAGGATGCAAAAAAGGTCCATGCTGACATTTCAGGAGGATTTAATTTCTCTAAGCAAATGGCAATTTAGACTGACAAAGCCCTGCTCTGTGTTTACCTCAAGTACTTGACTCAAGAGCATGGAAAGCTTCAGAGGTCTCCCTGCTGTCGACAATCCCTGTTGCTTGGCCATAGGTGTCCAGAGCTTGTGTGGCCTGGCAGAGACCTGCCAGCACTGTGGAGTGTCGGGGGAGCATCACTCTGCACAACGCCCTGGGCAGCCCCTCGGCTTTGTCACTGTGCTTTGATGTCTCCACCGCGGCGCTGGCCTGCCCTGGGACACAGCCTGCAGCACACGCTGCAGAGTGACAAAGGTACGTGAGCACTCCGCGCTTGCTGTCCCTGCTGTCACAATCAATTTCACAGCACCGTCTGGCTCTCTGCATTAGGCGGTGCCCTGGGGAACTCCGGCTCTGTGAGTGATGGTGCTGAGCAGGGCTGAGAGGAGGTGCAGCAGTGCAGGCAGAGCAGCAGGACAGGCACACAGCTCTCGCTGCCTTGTTCTGAGCACGGCTTGGGCCAGCCGTGCCAAGGGCTACCTCACTGCAAGGGTTGTGAGTAACCACATCTTGCATTCCATGTTGAAAGTTAAATGGATCAAAGCCTGATCTAGATCCCATTCCTCAAGGCATTAACATGAAATTTGTTGAAGTCGTATCTTTATGAGTTCTCATCTCATCTGGAGCAGATGTGGGTAACCACAAAGACTTTCAAAGTGGAAGCTCTTCATGGAAGTGTGGGATTTTCAGAAATTTTCAAACTCCTGAAACTCAGTTCTGTCTAGCATGGCTGCAATAAAATGTTTGTCTTGTGCAGTCTCATGACAACATCTGAGTGTTTCCACCTCTTCCTGTACTCAACTTCCATAATAAATTAAAAAATGCAACAATCTCTGTTTTATAGGAGAAACTGAGGGATGGCAGAGCTATGGCTTACTGGTCATTCTGCCAGGAAGGTTGGTTTGGGGAGCCTTTTGCAACTGGACTAGTAACTAGGTCTTGCTTGTGAAATGACAAAGAAAGAAGGGCATGGGGAAAAGGAACTGTTGAAAGGATGTGAAATCCATTACAATTAAAAGTAATTAGACTTTAGCATTCCAGACATCTGTTCTGGTTCTGCAGCTACTGGAGGTGATAAATGACCCCCACAGGTAAATCTGCTCTACTACAGGAACACAGAATCAGCTTTCAAACTTTTGCCTGAGAAGGCAGCAATTTCCTCCAGACAGTTTGCAGATTGGGAATTTTTGGTGAGCTGTTACGAAAAACCTCAGCCATTGCTTCCAGCCTACTGTATGGGAAATTTCTGTTTCTTTGAAGTTCCTTGAAGATGTGAGAGTGTGCCTGAGCAGACTGAGCAAGCTTGGCTTGCTTTTTGTAGGAGCAACTGCAGGTGTACAGTGAGTATTTAGTTAAAGATAAAAAGGGCCCTCATACCTGAGAACTCTGGCGACAAAAATATGTTTTAACCCTTTGGCAATTTGTCAGGCCTATTTCATACAAAGAGAGCTTAACCTCTGTCTTACTTGTGCTCTAAACAGTGAGAGGCTAAGTGATGTAGCTGAGAGGGAAGACAACCAACCTACATCTCTGAGATGGCCCTGTGCCCAGCCACATGCTTTGGAAACTCAGAGCAACTATCTCTAACGTTTAGTAGAATTTATGTGCTGGAGCTGGTCCTGGCTCCTGCTCTGCTTCACTCTTGCCAGCTGCAGAGCCACCGTGGCTCCTGCTCCATGTCTGCAGGCAAAATCATCCTACACACTTGGCCCAACACCAGCCTGACTTTATTCACCCTCCACTCTCTCTACGTGGAACCTCAACCAAGGGCAGCAGTCATCAGTGTTTATACAGGTTTGCCTTGTATTTTCTTGTTGTGAATCCAAGGAATGATCGGCTTTTTCAGGGCAAGAGCAGAAGCTCTGGCCCAAGCAGACTGACATAGATATTCATCTTTAAGCTTGAATCCCACAGCCCCCCACAAGTACCCACAGCTCAGGCCAGAGGAAGCAGATGGCCACAGTATTTGAAGGTGACAATGGGACCCCTTCCCCTACACAGCTGCATTTTGCACACAGAGATCTTTGCTGGAAGGGCAGTCTGTGTGCCAGGACAGGCTGATCCCCAAATCCACACAGCACTGCCTGCAGGACTGAACCCTTCACTCTTCAGGACCTGCTTTCTGATCCTGGCTGATTGGTTCTACTGGATTTCACGCAGACATCAGCCACATCACATTTCAGGTCTGCTCCTTTTGTGATCAATAATGGCTCAGCTGTCTGTCAGTGACGTGTTGCTGGCTGACGGCCAGTCTCTTCCATACCCCACGTAGAGGGAATTTCCTTTAGATCCCCAAATTAGGCATGACATATGTATGGAAAAATAAACAAAAAACCAACCCAAACCAATTCAAGAATGCAAAGATCTTAAGGAGTTTCAAGGCTTAAAAGCAGATTCTGCTCATCAAACACACTGCAATTGCATTAAAATGTGGGGTCTATGGGACTTTCTTTGGCATTTCCTAATCACAACTCCAGAGCAATTCTTAGAAGAAAAATATGCAGCACCTAACAAGGACTGATTATGTGGTAGAGGAGACAATTATCCATCCATCCATCCATCCATCCAACCATCCATCCATCCATCCATCCATCCATCCAGTATCCCAGCAGTTCTGTAGCATTTCATTGAGGTAACTGAGCCCTGGACCTTGCAATGGGCTTCTGATTCATGTCTCCGCACCGGCCTTTCGCATTCCAAGCTATGGGCATTCGTGTCTTTGGGGCTTTTGTGAGTGTTCCTTCACCCATTTCAGGGTGAGCCGCTCGCTCGCTCTTGTTGCCTTTGTTCAGATACGGAGGATTCCTGGGTGATTTTTGTGGCTGCCACACGCGGTGATCCGGAGTCCGTGCCCGGCTCTGCCGGTGCCGGCTTTGCAAGGCAGAGGCCACGGAGGCTCTGATGCTCCCGGCGCAGGAGAGCTCCGGGCCTGAGGCGCGGCCGATGCAGTGCGGTGTCCGGGCAGGAGCGACCGCAGCGCCGAGAGAGCCCAGCGGTGCCCGAGGGCAGCGGGCAGGGCCCAGCGGTGCTCGAGGGCAGCGGGCAGGGCCCAGCGGTGCCCGAAGGCAGCGGG